CACTTGGGCCTTGAGGGTTCTCAAATCCCACTCAGGGCACGAATATATATCTGCGTTCATCTCTCTGTTGCCCTCTGCGAAGCACTGATCCCCACCCATGGGATCCTAGCAAATGTCTATGAATAAAATTCCGATGAAAACTTGAGTTTTTAATACCATGTAAGTATTGGAAGTACAATCAGTTTTTAGTGCTGAAATACAGATCACTGCTAGTAACTTGATTCCTTTCCTTCCATTGTTGTGGGGTTGTGAAATTGTGAAAGAATTATGCACTCCATTTTGAGGAACACCGAATTTCCAAACGAATTCAATGCCACTTTACGTCTTTCATTTACTACAGTGTTCTTCCACATAGAAACATGTTGGGACAGAAGGAATCCGAGCACTTCCAAGGCCCTGTGTAACATCTTGTGACATTTAGTTTCTAACAATGTGGAGGTTGTTAGCTCCCCGCTGAACCCCTAAGTTGGGGAACCATTCCTTGTCTACTGCCTACATATGTTGTAATCTTCACCAGATACAAAAATTTAGTCGAATATCTGAGGGATGGGAGAACTGGGAAAACTTAGGTCTACGGAGATGGGTGGATAAAATATAAGAATAGATCTTGAGCGAAATATGTTGTGTGAGTGTGTGTGTGTGTTGACTGCACTTTAAGTGGTTCGCGGTAGGTTCAGATTGTCTGATCATGTGAACACTCTAACGATATTTTGGACTCAATAAACAGTTTCCAAAACGTTAACTGTTTCAAACGAAAGTTACAGATCTTCTGTAAGGTTTGTATCTGATTTTGAAAGCTTACAACCTCTTTGTATCATGCATCATTTTCTCAGAAATTTGATAATTTTTTATTTTATGGTCGTTTGGTTATAGCCCAGGGTTAGAGTGAACAGGCCAAAACAAAATTAAGCCAGCAACTCGCAGTGAAAATCTCAATATCAAATTTCTTGGAAATCGTTTAAGCAGTGTGAAAAGTGAAGCATTAGACTCCCACTCACGCATTACATCAAAATAACGAATGAAACTGTTTGAAAATGTAGGTCGCATACCTTGTACTGTCGTCATAATATTACCCAGTGACATGGAAACAGACAAGAAACCTCCGTGTGGGTGGTCTTAGTTGATTGGCATTACACATCAATTCACTCCCACGGAAAGTTATGTGAGAATGAAAAGCATACCTCATCCCCTCCGCAAGCTGCGTAAATCTGACCGAAATGTCGGATTCATCGACCATCTGTCTAGCATTACCATAACTCTCCAGTGGTAAAAACGAATTATGTCTCCTCCATATCGAATGATTTTGCCCCGACTTGGCTTAGTTATGATATCAAAGGAGCTTATGCTATCACCTGCCTGCTGCTCAGATGATCATTTTCCGTTTCGAAACACCGATAAATATAATCTGTCATGGAACTGTATATAACATAAATGACTTTTTAAACAAAATATTCTGCAGAAAACAGTTAAATTTACTTTCATAGTATGCATCCTCTTGTGTGTCATTCAAAGAAAATATAAAATGGGACAGTCAGAAAATATTTAAACTGAAACGAAATGGATGCTTAAAGTACGAACAGCACGTTTATTGCTGCAGGTGTTATGCTATATGTTTCAACCTTCTTTAGGTCATCTTCAAGCATATATGAAACAACAGTAATAAGGTTCTGAATATGTTAACACATAAGTATGAATCCATATTTACATTAATATATTTTATAATTCACATTCCTTAATTCAAAATTTTGACCCAATATTATGTGCATTTATATTACTGATATTTATTATTATTATTATTATTACTTTTATTATTATTATTATTATTATTATTATTATTTTGTTGTTGAGTTGCGACACAAATAAATAAGAATTAATTGTTTTATTTCATTATTAATTGTTATATACTGTTATATATATATTGTTATATATGTACGTGTATAGTCCTCCCTCGCCACATAATGGCATAACCATTGGGAGTGTACTTATTTTACTTTCCTCACCTATTAATCATAACTTTAATTTTCATGGAATTATTATTAATTTATTATTATTATATAGACTGCCTTATTTTGTATTTTGTTTTCAGTTATTTTTGTACTACGTACTACTACTACGTACTCGTGCATACTTTGTAATTGGCCTCTAAGCTGTTAAGATCACACGTAAATAATCAAGAATTGAATTGAATTTTACTGAATTAAATATATGTTATTATATATGTTAATTTGAATAATTAAGAATAAAATTAATATTACGTATGTGTTTTTATGGTCTGCCACTATAGATTTGAGAGTCTATAATTATACACTTATTAGCTTCAAATACTGTATTGCTACAAATTGAAATATGATGTCTTTCAAGTGGATGATTGCTGCTTAAATTAACAGATGAAACTTTTCCGTTTTCTGTTACACACACAAATTTGAAGTTAATAAACTTCCGTCTCCGTCCTTTCTTAAGTGTTTAATATGGATAATTAATTTTCTACATTTTTAGTGTTTCTAGAGAAATTACTATATTATCTAAAATATACGGTAAGACGGTGTATAAGACGGAGGAATGATTTCTATCTATGGAAAAACATTCACTTAGTCTGAAAATTTAAGAATAGATGGAAAAATTTCCAGGCGTATTTCTGACACTAAATTATGCTGCCATAATAAATACATGAAAGATAAGCCTTTAGTTACAGGAACCTCTCCGTTGGAATCCCAGAAAATAAATACAAAATACGAGCTATTAATTCATATTGCAGATGAACTGGAATATGAGCAAGCTTCTGTCTTTCTCCTTTGAATATTTTTATTGTTTCTGCTGAATGAACTATTATTGTATGCGATTGCAGAAATTCCCAAAACTTACATTCCATTATAACATATTCATACTTGTTAATCCCAAGAGAAGTGAGAGTCATGTAATGCTCTTATAATTTGTAAATGGAAAAAGTTTGTGGTGATATTTACAAAATTTATTTATTTTTTATTTTAAATCGCTTGAATTCTGGATAAAATAAAATTGAACATTTCCACAAATATTACAAAAGTCTTACTTCTGTTAGTAATTACTCAAAATTAAATGAATTCATATTCAAAGGAATTGTTTCCTGATACTGAAATAAAGGCTGGTTTTGTTAATTATGCTGCTGTTTTATTTTTATTTCTATTAATTGGAAAATGTTTAAGACTTGAATATAGAACACAGGCCGGCAACAATGGACATCTGGAGTTACCTCCCCGTCGCCCCCCCCTCCGCTCGTTGGCCTCCATGTGGAGTCTCGTTATGCAACGCTGTGTATTCCCCACGCCTGAAATATACATCCACTGTCAACATTTCAGAGATTTCCATCTCATGAGAGTTTTATGTCGCTACCATAAGTACTATAATGTAAACTTAACTACATATTAAAAATCAATAATTATAACAATAATTAACAATAGACATACCAGTTACTTTGATATTTTTTTTATATAATCACATTAATAATCTCTTTAGATATCTGGTCTTAAGAAATCCTGTTTTATTAGTCTTTGCCACAAGAAGCTACAGACATTACAAATTAACATTCCTATGACACTAATGAATGGAGCATATGAATTCATTCATAATCACTGATGTTCCTGTTATATTATATTCGTAATAAATTTGAGAAAATTGATTTCAGGACACATTAGTTATATAAAGGTAATATTTAAGCGATTTAAAACCTAATACCATTCTTTGTAACATAAATATTTAACATGTCTTTTTTAAGATCACCTGTGTAAATATTTCGCAGGGTTGGCAAGCGTATGAGAAGACTTGTGAGGTCCGCGGACTGTGGTACGGTGGTTGCAGCGAAGGCCCGCTGTGACGATGTGATGAAGGGATTCCTGGGAAATGCAATCTTTCTATTATAAAACGTCTTAAAATTGTGTCCTGATGAATTATGCTGACTACAACTTTAACCTAGATGATTCATACACATATAATCCATTCATCTTAACTTTCATATGTTATACGTACGTGCGATATTAATGAACTCATTATCAGAAATATTATTTATTAATTATTTTATTTCGTTGTTATTTTGTTATAGTTTTTGATGGGTTCGGTATTATGTGATGCGTCATTTTGGACAGAATTTAAAGGAGGATAATGCATTTTTATCCTGAAAACAAAAAATTTTGTAAAAGTGTTATGAAAATATTGATGTATGTCATAATGAAGCTCTGTGTATCGTAATTTGTCTTTAAAATTATTCAAACATCTTTCTGGAAAGGAACATGTTATTGTGGCTTATCTCTGTTTTAAGCTAAATCCATCATACTCACTTTCTTTTTCTTTTTTTTTTCGCTAAAATTTTAAACCTCAAAAATAAGGAATAAATATCAAACTTTTGTCATCAATAAAAAAATTCCTAGGAACTACTGAGCTGCTTATGCGCAATAACTAAACATACAACTTAGTACAATAATCTTAATTAAACAGAAATCAATCAAAAGGGGAATCTAAATGAAGCTGTTCGCTCTGAACTGTTACGACAGATATTCTGCCCGGTGCCAAGTACGACCGCCAGATGCCGTTGTTGTTGGGCCACTGTGTACTATTTCCTTCGGCTTGGTGGGAGACACATTGCCAAGAGCAGTGTATCTCTTCCTAAGTCGACATCACTAGTGATAGTCCCACAAAACCACACAAACTTAACGATGACCACTGCTGCTGCTAAACAACCGAATTTAAACAAACTCTGAAAGGTCTCTTTGCTCTCGTTTCCAAAATTCTTCCCTATAACTCGGACAAATTAACGACTCTCAAAATCTTAATAACTTTTAAAAATACGAGTAGTATTGTAAACAAAATACTTTTTAATTTGCAAACTAATGATATATATACATTTAGTTTTATTATAAATCTATAATATATTATACACAGTTAAAATAATTTGACGGTTTACTTCATGTGCACGAGATCTCTGCTTCCACAAGTAACGATATTTCTTTCCAACTTTTCCCCACCACAAGTGCCGATGAAGGTTTCGACGGGACGTATCCGACAAACGTTGTGGTCAGAAATAACGGTAGCTGCTTGTACGTTCCACCGGGCATCTTCAAGAGCACATGCAAGATAGACATTACGTGGTTCCCCTTTGATGATCAGCGCTGTGAGATGAAGTTCGGTAGCTGGACCTATGATGGCTTTCAGGTACATTTGTATATGCAGCCCTCACAGAGAGATATGTTCTGCTTGCATGGACTAGATGGGTATAGCGGAGAGGGTAAAGGAATATCTCAATTTCGGGCCTGCCCTCCAAACATCTCGCAAGATCTAACGTTTTCAATTTATATAAAGAGAAATTATCTTATTGTTTACAGTTATTTTTAGTAGTGGTAGTAGTAAAGTGATGCTAGTGGCATGAGTCAGGCTAGCTCAGCTTAGTACTGTGACTTACTAAACGCTTAAAAAAACGGCTGGAAGTGGCGGAAAGAGCAGGGGATCGTTTTGGCTACCACATTCAGATAGTACTTAGGGTCGCCACAGCCTCTTATCCTATAGGAACTGGGGACTGCTTTCCCCAAAATTAAAGCGGCCGGAATGTGAAACTGACCCCTCACTTCCAGCGAGTGCCGAGGTTAAATATAACTAGATATTCATCCCCCCAGTGGGTCTTCTTCACGTGGTGCTTAAGCTCAAGTGGTAAGGTCTCAGTCCCAGCCGGAGCAGGGAATTTTGGAAACTTGTAGACATGCTCAAGGTGTCCACCTAGTATTCTGTCCAACTTTATATGGACAAATTTTCCCGACATTAACTTGGCCGGAGGGTGGAATTGATCAGTGACTTCTTTCTAGTGCCGAGGTTAGAGCTACATCCACTTCCTTTTATGTCCCTATGGTGTGGGTTATAAGCGTGGGGATAATTTCACGTTTTAATTAGTACTACTACTACTGTTGCTGCTGCTGCTACTACTACTACTATTACTACTACTACTACCATTTGTAATATTCTTTTTCAGTTATCGTCCTTGTGGTTTATATCCGGGCGTAGATATTCCATATCCCTAAGGATTCAAAATTCAGTGTGCAGTGTATGCTGTTCCGAAGATGGCTGTCTTTTTACGGGCTGTCCGATATACCACATGGCTGTGAAATTCAAATTTTTGTTCAGTCATTTTGTTATTTTTACTGTTTATCATCCTCATCATCATCAGCAACATCAATCCTTGAACCAACGATGAATCATTGTCCCGTTCAACTAACGTCGAGATAAAATATGTTTTCAAGATAAAAAGTATTTTGCATTTCTAAACCAGGAACGACGTCAGTAAGCGCAAAAAGGAACACCACTTTTAACATTTTTTCGCCTGCTACGATATTTTTAGGAGAATGTTAACCAACAGTCCTTATGGCATTAGTTTTATCATCAAATGTATAATTTACGACGAAAGGATTACAAGAGTAAATATATGTAAAATTTAAATTTTAGAGTTATGTGTCTGTCTTGTCTTAAATTCAAATTTATGACAGTTTATGAAAAAGTTTTCAAGAATAAACAAAAATTATTTTTCTTCTTGACGTATTCCATTATCATTCTTGTAAAAATAACCAATTTTAATTGCTATTATTTCTGTTCAAATATTTTTATCGTCCCAAATTTTCAACGCTCTCCGAAACCTTTAACTATTTTTTACATTTAATACTTATCACTTTTATCTATCTCGTATTGGATTTGTATGCAGAAATGCTATCCCTTGTCTAACCATAGAACTAACCTGATGTAATATCTTTTATTTTGCGATACAAATGAGAATTCCAAGATGTCTGAGTCTATTACATCAGGATTATTTATAGACAGATTTGTCAGTATTCATCACTTATTTTCATTGCACTGTTGGAAAGTTGAAAGCTAATTTAATGACCTCAAGACTATTATTTTGCTAAGTATATATAATTACATGCTGAAAGCAAAAGATAGTTCTGATAAGTGAAAGATCCTTCATCAGCGTTAGATGGTACAATATCTTTCATTGTGACTTATTTGTGATGTGTTACGTTCCAGTTGGATCTGCAGTTGCAGGATGACAGCGGTGGAGACATCAGCAGCTTCATTACAAATGGTGAATGGGATCTCTTAGGTAGGTAGGGCTCCAGCAGCAGTGTTCATGGTACGACTGGCATAAACCTAATCAATGTTATTGCATGGCACTTGCAGAAACAGACATCTAAATCTACATATACATATATATTGCCAAAAAGTCACAAAATTAAATTAATGTGATGACCGAGCCTAGGAATATGAACAGGAGATGAATGTTTTGTGATTTTTTTAATTCATATGTTTTATATCCAAGACAATCCTCTTTGTAAGATATTTCAAAACACTATTCTTATTTTTAATATCTCCACGCAAACGCTTCAGTCTCTTTAGTGAAAACCGCATCGACGGAAAATGCTGAGTTATTGTATCGGAAGTTTAACTGGATTCGTTTGAGATTTGAGGTTCTTACCACGGTGAATATACTGAATGCTATCGTTTGGGAAGATAAGCAGTGTAGTTTGGTAGCCATTTACCGATGTTTTGAGGACACGTACTCTCTCAAACTTCAGTTTCAACGAGAAAGCCAAGCAGTTATTTAATTGACCAAATAATTAAAAAAAAATAAGAGATAAAGATTTAAGTCCTGTAGCATAAATATAAAGTTGTAATTCAAGCTGATCTCAGGAATCACACACAATCCGAGACCCCTCAAAATCGTGATAATTTATTTTAATTTTTACTGGGAGGATGGCTGATTTTCCGTTGCTCTCTGTGATCCCTTAGGGCTCAAGATTATTGATCTCCCAGCAAACAAGGCTTAGGATACTTCCACGACAGGGGACCTAACAAGAAAGAAATGTATAGTCTTTCACAATACACATTTTATTTAACATTAAATGACACCGTGGGCTACGACAGAATCAGTTTCCATTATTACATTTAGAAAGAATTTAAGCCTGCATTTTTATCCTCAAATCTTGTCTCGCTGTCTTTGCAAGGACACCACATGCAATTCTATAATGAAACGATATCCACAGCTGATATTTCACTACAAAAATATTTTGTGAATCAAGTGATTACCATGTTGCGCCAGTCTTTAAATTATATAACAGAATGTATTATGTGAGAAAGCCTGGCTTTCCAGCAGTCGGTTTCTGTATTTTGTGTAGACTGAAAATGTTCTTAAATCGTCACAGTTTCGGGCGTAGGAGCTGTTTATTTGCGAACACCGATTTTCGTGAAGAGCTTCTTTTTCTTCTGAGGTTTTTTCTAGTTCGTGTGAACTACACCAAAACGTTCGTAAAGATAGCGTAGAAAATCATTATTTTGAAGGAAAGTACCATGGACTGGTGGGGCACTGTTACACGGACAGATTGTGTGCTGTATCTCCGATGAATGTGATATATTAACCTGTCCATGCAGAGAAATCTGCACTGAATTTGAGGAACCACTTCTGTTCTTCGTGATCATTGTCTATATTTGAGTTATCAATATCCTTGAACTTACGTGAGCCAGTTTCATAAATTTCAAAAACGCCAAAATTGCCAAGGTTCATGTCTTGGCTTAGTTTGTTATTCATGCAAGGCGATTCAATTACATGACATGTTTTTTCATGTACTTCGGGTTCCCTATGGTGACAGGGGACGCAAAAAATCATGCTGTCTGGTATTATTCTAGAATTTCTGCATAAATATTGACCCCTTGCGTTCGTCTTCACGATCATCTCATATTGTTGCTTATTAGCCGGTGCGCCGGAGTTTTACGCGACCGCATTCAGGAACGGAATTAGTTCATTCATCACCAATTCTTACACGCGCTTGAGTGAAATATATAGACTCTATTTTCCCGTTGTGACGTTGTCATCACCGTCCTCAAACTGAATGTCTTTGTCTATATTAAAGCTCCGCGCGGCTAGTTAGGCTTATACGCCTTCAGAATGCATAGTTTCTGAAGTAAATCTTCCTGTGTGACATCGCATCCTACACTTTTGTTGAATCTTTACTCTTTTCACTTTCATATCCTGCAATATGCTAGAATTACAGTATACGTTCAGTCACTTCATTTGAGATATCTGCCTAATAAACAACATTTTCTTGTCACCAGGATACTATGAAAATATATACTGGTTTTACGTTCATTATCGCCATTGTCCTGGTGATTTGGTTAGGAAGATAATGGAAAGTGAAATTGAATTAGACTTGAAAATTAACAATTTCTTACGTTCTCCTTCCTGGAATGAACAAAATTCCTATTTGCAGTGATCATCTGCCATCACCAGTGATGCATGAATGGGCGCATTTACATAATTACCTCGTTTCTTTCTTGAGGACTTGTTAGCAGTGATAAGATGTAGTGATCCAGCTTTGAAGAATCTCTTCAAATTATTATTTCTGTTATATATAGCTCAGGATGTACTATGAAGCTTTAGACCACATGTTTAACACTATAAATGCATTAAAGGAGCAAGAAGTACCTTAGATTTCTTCGAAGTAGGAAATACTTTCTGTGTGCAATCATTGTGACCGCCTCTGTGATCTTAGTGGTCAGAGTGTCTGGCTACAGATCTAGAAGTCCAGAGTTCGATTCCCGGCGCTATCAGATTTTCTGAGTAGTGTATATAGAACCGAGTCCACTCAGCCTTGCGAGGATAATTGAGGAGCTATTTCAAGCTCCGGTATAGAAAGCCGTCGGGCTTCGTTGCACTCACCATGTTACACCCTCTATCCACTAAAGTTGGCACTAACTTCGCCGACAAGCGGCGGTCGCTCGGTCGGTACAGTTCGCTTGCGGACTAAAAAACACGGAGTGTCATCAATGTTCGAGTGTAGTTCACCCGCTATGAGATCACAGTGGACGACTGCTCCGTTTTAGCCACAATAACGGGAGAAATAAAACATGTTATATTTCTGAGAAACTAACGACATTAACGTATGTACTCTTCTTTTCAGCTACAACGGATGCCCCTTTAATGGAAATTTCTTAATTGTTTGACAGTATATGGCATTATCTTCAGATATGAATGTGTTACTGGTTTCGTGACGTTTGGCAGCTTGTGTGTCCTTCAAAATGAAATAATTTTCCTATTAAAAGGACATGAATTTTTGTTTAACTATTTTCAGAGTAAACTTGTAGCATGCTGCACTGTTTAACCTTTTGTGGAACCCAATAAGATTAGGTCAGGTAGGCTGTATTACTTCAACCGTAATGGGGCAAGTTCATAGCTCCTATAGTGTAAGTGTAAATAACACTGATCACGTTGACAAAGGAAGATTACAAGTAATTTTAATTAAGAAAACCGATTTTCAAAATTATCGCCATTTTGGAAGTTTTGAGGTGTTCATAATTAATATAGATTCTATTCATTAGTTAATGAACGGCCCGAAGGACAGCAGACCTGCGCATGTATCATACTGTACGTTCAATTCTCTTCATATTTTAGGCTCGGGTCACAATAGGCCCTATGTAAGATATTTTACAGTCGAAAATAATAATAATTTGTAATGCTGAACCTCAGATTCTTAGCTCAAAATGCAAATATTACTCAACTACAGTGGCTGACTTTTACTGTCATCTGAAGATATAGAATGAATTATAAATTCTGCGTGTTTTGACATGTTGTTTCAGGGATATTTAATTTAAATTTCCTTCAGTCTATCTGATACTTTAATATAAATTCGGTATGAACTTAAAGTTCTGAAATGTTGCACAGAGCACTATGGTTCCTTCACTGTTTTTCGGCAGTGGGGGAGAAATTGTGCATTGGGAAAAAGAGGTTAACACCCTTTTTACAAGCGGAAGATGCAAATTAAAGCATTGGCTTTGAAATATTTATAACAAAATTTCGACTGTACTGAATCACAAAGTATAGTTTACTAAAAGTGGATTTTTATATTCATTCTATATTTTGTTAGATGAAATAAACACTCTTATATTTTCAATACTTATAGGAAGGATACAGTATATAATTAATATTAAAAAGTATAATTACAAACAATAGTGTTTTTAATATATGACTACATATCTTTGCTCACTCTGATTCTTAATCAAATGGTGAGGAACGGCTCTTTCGAACCTAACTAAGGGCAGTGCAGTTATATACAAGTAAGTAAATGTACCTTTGTTACCAAATTCAAGTGTTCGGCTGTCTGGCTGTGGGAATGAACAAACGTATGAATGGACGGGCATCTCTTGGTTTGAGGAAAGCCCTGTGGAGGCAGCACCAGTGCGGTGACTTAGTAGCGAGAGTCCGTGGAAGGCAGACCAAAATCAATATGGCGACGACAAGGCAGTGGCGTGCATCCCGTTAGGTAAATTGGAGGTCCCATCCAAGCCTTCGTGGTATATGGTCCGGACTTTACCCACACCAATATCCACGTCGTTCCTTTTCTATTCTTTCTCTAGTTTTAAACGATGGCTATGACAAAATGAACTTGAACTCTCAAAATGGCTTTCCTAAAACCACTGATATAAATAAGAACCAAGACTGGGGCAAAAAATAAAACCACTTGCCTCTGTTCTTTGACACTACATTTTCTCCTTAATTAAAGAACGCAAATAAATAAAAATCTGAATAAATATGAACCTCTTAAATCACCTGATTGGAATTGGAATGACTAACATATGAAGTTATACGTTAAAGCATTTTGTTTTGAGTTTCTTTGAATTGTTCTTTTCTTCCTTGATTAGCTTCCGTCTTTGCTCCTGTCCTCTCTCTCTCTCTTTATTTCTTCATTCCAGGTGTTCCCGGGAAAAGGAATGAAATTTATTACAACTGCTGCCCCGAACCCTATATAGACATAACTTTTATCATTATCATACGGCGCCGGACTCTGTACTACTTTTTCAACCTTATAGTTCCATGTGTTCTCATCGCCTCCATGGCTGTTCTGGGGTTTACACTGCCGCCGGACTCAGGCGAAAAGCTATCTTTAGGTAATATTTCTCGTTCAGGTATTCTCTTAAGTATTTATCCTTCTTCAGCCACTCTTTTTTGTTTAAAGGTTGGCTTATTTTTCTCTTACCTATGATTTTTTAAAGTTTTTTACATTCTATGCCCCCCTTTCCCCTTTTTGTGATACATTTCAGGCATGCCTGGGAAAAAGAACGTTAAAGAATATGCTTGCTGTCCAGAGCCCTACGTAGACATTACTTTCATCGTGCATATTCGGCGACGGACTCTGTTTTACACGGTGAATTTGATCGTTCCTTGCGTAATGATCTCGTCTATGACACTCCTTGGGTTCACTCTACCACACGAGTGTGGAGAGAAACTAACATTAGGTACAGTAAAGTTCTGTAAGGAACTTCCTTGTGTCACGCATTGCTTTGTAACTCTGTAACTGGCTACACGTTGCGGTGATTCAGCGCCGCCATATTCAGCTGCTGACACATTGGAAGTTCCTCGGAATATGTTATTTTAATAGTGCGATTATGTTTTGTTTAATTGTATTGCCTGGACTTAGGACGGCACTTTATGTTTAAGTTCTTATTAATTTGTTTCGTATATTTCCTTGCTTTTTGTTTTGGTTAATTAAACCTTTGTCCCTGTCCTTTGGCTTGTTCTGCATGTGATCCTGCCCTTGATGGTTGTTATTCTTGTGGTATATTATCGAAGTCAACTCGTCCTCTTGTCGACACAGCGCTGCAGACGGTGGCTTATTGCTGACATCTTGTTTATGGTTGTAATGATTTACATTTCCGAGTGCATATTTTATGAAAATATCGTGTGAGTGTTTCACAAAATAAACTTGTCCTTCTTTTCCAGCTGACGTGAATGAAATCAGAATTTGTTCCATTTGTTAATCTCATTTCCTTTTCCCCGTCTCTCTGTTTATTTCTGCCCGGTTTAGGATCACAAGTTCCAAAGGTAATGTGATTCGTTTGCTTTTTTTATTTCTAATAAATAATTATGTAAGTGACAACGCAATTAAACTCTAAATTTAATTTTAATTGGTGATAATATTATAATGATTTAAATGTCGTTTATATTTATGTAAGATTTAAATGCTTAACCAAATATAATTAAAGTCATTTTGATTGAAATTCCGGTGTCAGCCAGACATCAGAACTTACGCTTTCTTAGGGAGTTATTAACGCTAATAATATATTTAACGATTTTGATCACATGACAGGTTCTCCAAGCTTGTCACGGCTAGCTACTGCTAAACGTAAAATGTTCCGCTACACTAGGCCAATATACATGTACTAACAGACCATGCCATGCCAGAAGAATTAATCCAGCGCTTCTATAAAATGGAGACAACAGTTTCTTATGGATTAATTGTATAAATCATTTTAGTTGTTACTGCTCACACAATAACTAAATCTGTGTGCCAACTTAACAACTTACAGGGGTTTCAGATAAAAAGTGTGTTTTCACTGTGTTACTTGAGGATCTTACCGTGAAATATAACTGCGGTGAAGCCAGCGAACTCCCGAACACATTCTTCAATCAGCACCGATAAACTCGGTTTAACCGTTTCCTTCTTTTTCATAAGCAATTTTTTTTCTTCCGGCCTCGGCAGCTCCATCACGCAGTCTGCATCCAAGTTGAGTCGTTTATCTCTACTGATAAATTTAATGTCGCTTAATGAAAAATCATTAAATGATTCTCTATCAACGATTTTATTAACGTTCCTTACCTAAGTCTCAACTCTGATTGATAATTCCAGAATAACTTAAGAGTGGTGATGCGACATTTCGAAATTTGTTTCGTACACACAAAATCATACCTGCATCTTGCTTAGGGCTTTTAACGTGTATGAATGAAAAATAGCGAAACTTTAAAATCCAATAAACTGTTCTCTATGGAGTATAGTAAATGTAACGAAATACAATATAGAAACCGGATGTATAAAATTTCATTATTTAATAACACAGAATCTTGATGTCGAAGAGTCGCCTCCCCACCACGCCACTCACACCACTCACACACAGACATTTTACTCTATGTGCGTGTCCTTTTAATTTGATGTTTCTCCTTCCAGGTGTTACAATCCTTCTCTCTCTGACTGTATTCCTAAACATGGTCGCGGAGACGATGCCCGCCACATCCGATGCTGTCCCCTTATTAGGTAAACCTGTGTGACAAGGCACACAGCCGGCTTGTTTGTGCTTGGGAGACAGAGGGGGTTTGTTTCCGAGTGGCTCACCCCGACGATGGGCATCTTCTTTCACTCCTTCATCTCTCTCACAACATGTGTTTGGAGTACAGTCAGTTTAACAAATCAGAAATGAAAGGATACATTTAATGCAGAAACTAATTTCAATCATGGATACCTTTTTGGATTATAAAAAGGAAGGAGTACTGAAGACATTCATAGAAGGTCTAAGATTTTAAAACTTGGTATTGAAATCCATTCCACTCCACACACCTTCTTCATACCTAGTGCTCAGCCACGTTAGATGTCTGCTGGTTCTACACACTACTTCCAATACTCTTCCGTCACCATTACTACTACTACTACTACTACTATTACTACTACTACTACAGCTATTCTACTACCACCACTAATCTTCTTGCAAGCTGTCTTCACTGCATCTATTAATGTACATTCTTATTTTACAATCTGTGTATGTCGCATTTCCTGATCGCCTTAGCAGTTACAGTACTTATTTCTGAAACAAATGATTTTCAGGAAGGAGGTTTCTTGTCTTGCAAATGCATCTTCTTCCATCGCAAAATATAACCTAATAACCAATATTTATTTGTTTATTTACGTAGGTGAAGTTGGTACGCAGTACTAAATAAAATAATGTTTTATGGTGCAGGTTGGATTATCTCAGATGCACTAAACCACTGTTCACTCGCGTTAGCCTAAACACACCACTCCACAGCACCATTTGTGAGATGTTGCTTTCATCCTAAATCCAAAATCCTACCCATTAACTTAATAATAAATTCAGTATCTGTAACCCATTTCTCTTGTTGAATTCATTAATACACAGAATTTCTAATAAATCATTTAAGTAACAAAACAACATTCCTTCTTTTAAGATGGTAAATTCTTGTATACTTAACGAGAGAAATTGAAAATTATATTTCATGTTTTATTCACTTTTAAAATAAATTCTACTAAACAAGACGGCTGTTTTCTGTGTCTAATTAAAAATGAATTTGTCAGACTCCTGACAAGTAGTAAATAAATGTATGTTGTTATATTTCAGTCACCGCAGTTGTGCCACATTTGTATAATAATGTCCAATTACAGTTAATAATCTTAATGTGTAATTAATGGGGTACAAAACAATAAAACTATAACACAACTCTGACGAGTAACTCTCTATTCCAGAAATCTCGGTATAAAGTAGATCATTATACAATCTACTTAATCAGATCTTTATGTTTACTAACTGGTTCCAAATTATGCTAGCCCATTAACAATTTGTATTTATATCCATGGAAATTATTTTCCTCGATATTTTATTTCCTCCATGTATTTTGAGTTATATCTCCGATGTCCCTGAGCTCTTCCTACTGTAGAACAGCATTCTTATCCCTTGTCACGTTGCTTACACCAAATGGCCTTACTTGTGGTTTCAGATGTCTAATAGCATTGCTTATTTCTTCTTACAGCTAGTAGAAGCTAAACGTAACAAAGATTATCGTAAGTGCACTACTCCAAGCATGAAAGCAGGCACTCAGTGAAGTATCTTCAATTCGAACAGTAGAGGCAGAAGAGTATTTCACGTCACCAGCTCAGTACTAGTGCCATCTGTTGAATCAACTGCGAAACTGTCCTTTCCATGTCACATCGGACGACACTGCTCAGGAAATACGTCATTCTGCATTCGCCGATCAACAAGTCAATTTCCTCTCTGTGTTACATGACGTTTTCCTTGCGCAATGCCTCTTGATGTTGCATGAACGAAGGGCTGGCACGACGCTGGTTCAGTGAGGACTCTTTTCTGACCCGTAGTATGTGTTCACTTACGTCATAGTGCCTCCGTCATGAAGTTGATTGGTTTCACTGTCAGCACTTTTGTTTTCCCCCACAGATGTCACCGTTCTTCTTTCATTAACGTTTTTCCTAAACATGGTAGCAGAAACTATGCCACCAACATCTGAAAGGCCCCTAATAGGTAACGAAAATTGTCCCTCATGAATATCTTAATTTGCTACTTGGACAGCAGAGGGACGGCGTTCATTAACATTAGTTAGCTGATACTGAGACGCAGGCATAAGAGAAATTAATGAAAACTCATTTCCACATGAACCAATCCCTGCCTTTGATTGTGACAAACGTGTGAACAGGATCATCACTTTCTTTTACAGACATCGAAACTCGTTGAATGTTCTAGATACTACCCACACGGCTGACTAGATACTTTGTGTAGAGCCATATGTTCAGATACAAGAATCTGAAAATCACTGTTTGTCTCTCTTGTCTCATAAGATAGAACTGTCACACCTCTGTGAAACGACAAGCTATAAATACACTTTAACTTAGGTTGCCATGAATAAAGAAATGTCCATGCGTGTTGCATTCTTGGTGTTTTCTGTGTTACGTAGAAACTGTGTGAAGTTGTTTAGTTTAATAGTTTAAATGTTCAGTGTCTTAAAATTTAACCCCAGACCTGCATTTCTTAATGTCGCCTTGGTTTTGTGTCACGTGATCATTTACGCAGACGAAATGGGTACAAATCACAAGCGTGACCCAAGTGATTCGAAGGTTCCTTTAATTTTAATTTATATTTTCTTAACCAAAAATTGTGTTTGTCGTATTAAATGGGCTTACGTCTATTCCATATGATGTGTTTCTCGACTTGGAGATATTATTGCGTGCTAGAGCTAGCTAATGCGTTCTACTATGAATTGTTCTTGTAAAAAATACTATGGAAGTAAGTAGCTAATTGTGGCCATTCCTGCACGTACATGCATTCGCCATAAATGTTTTTGGATCACTAATCACTTCAAGCAAATTTAATTTTACTAAATTTTCGTGGGCAAATAACTTATTCGGAAATAAGTCTACAAAATTATATCAGTTGAAATTTAAAACATATGCTGAACTTCTTACTTATGAATAAAAAGAAACCCGATTCGAAAATATTTAGTTCGCAGCGACAAATCTTTCCCGAGAAGAGACCTCACTATCCTAAGTAAGCCGGGTTGAATTTCAAAGTACGAGTATTATGAACAAACTTAAAGTGTAGCAATAAAAACATGAAGGACGCCAGATACAGAGGAGCAGGGTCAAATTCAATTTCATTTCAATTTACAAAGAACGTGTGAATTTTAATTATTTTCATTTCGAATGTAGGGAACTGAACATCTTTTAAAATAAACATTCAGACAGAAACTTATAGTATCTGGGGTTTTCATGATGGAGAATGACCAGATTGTGGATTTTTGGGTTGTGACATCATGCGGTTCTGTAGGTTACCGGAATTTCGGAGAAACTTGCTTCCTTCATTTTGCCCCCAAAGATGGAGGTAGTATGATCCTCAGTTCCACCTGCCAGACTTCACGTTGTCATAACACGGAAGAACACCATCTAGAAATTAAGTTTCGTGGAAGTTAAAATTGGTTGAATCTCGTCTTGCGTTTCTTAACCAGTTATTCAAAAGAGTCCTGTCTTCTGGGAAATAACTCCATATGGCTCGTTGCAAATCAACCGACATTTCCGAGAACATGTCTCCTCCGTGTTCAGGGTCAAAGAATAAGCCAGCAATAAACGAGCATGGAGCAGGTAGAGAGAAATCACTGCTTGCTGTCTGCTTTATGATAATTTCTTTTTTGGCTTACTCTTCAGCACTTAAGATGGAGGCGACATATTCCTCCAAAACATCGGTCGACTTTCAAGGGGCTACACATAATCATTCCCAAAAGATAGATATCTTCATAAACAGACTTGCGAGAACGTCAAATCTTACAAGTTATTCAGGGGTTTCCGAAAAAAATACGCGGACTTTGTCAGTACGTTACGTCATGACCTCAAAAGAAAATGTTTTGTAAATTTCGTTTACTTCCATTTTTAATATGTTGTGCTCGTTGAATTCATGGTAATTTTAACTTGTTACGGTGCATATGCTGCTGAGTTGAGTAAACGTTCTATTATCATATGTTTAACTTTGCTTTTTGTGTCGTCAGCACATCAGTAGCCCAAGCATAACTCACCATTCCATGTTTGTCTGTTCTGCTTCTTACGCCTTTTTTCCCGCCATGCTTTCATGATAAATGTGTTGTTATTTTATATAACCCAGTCCATATAATCTCCAAGCTTATCTAAATATCTGACAATAAATACTGAATGATATTCTAGATATCTGAGGCCCAAATAAGCAAAGAGAAAGGCATTCTATTCATTGAGACATTACTGTGAAGAGTGGTTATAGTTATGATGAATATGTTGTTATTGTTTCAGGGGTTATATTCACCCCGCGGTACACTGTCGCAGTTAAAGCTACATAATCATCATGTGAACACAAATGCTTTCCCACTGTTGCTTCAAGTTAATGAAACCCTAATTCTAGACTTCAAGTGAATACATAACAATAAATTACTACACGTTTTATGTAACACATACAAATGTACTTATAATTCAATGTTATATTTCTTCGGGTACACTTGTTGATTTCTGAATTGAATTCTGTCAGTGTATATATATATATATTGAATTTTATGCTCTGTTTTGCTATTTCAGCCACGAAGTTCAGACTGGCGGCTTCAGATGATCGTTTACATTAACATTCTGGAATAGCAGTTTTGTATCACATTTTATATGAAACTAAGGCCATATCTGTGTGTTGTTGATAAATATGAATCTACACATTAACGACCCAGCATTCAGATTTTCTTTTGTATAATTCGGTTATTTCTCTTTTGAAGCTAAAACCGATCCTCAGGCGGCCATTTGCATCAGCAGGACCCATTCTGAGAAGTATATATAGCAGCAGAGTCATTACAGACATTAATGAGAAAATCTTCTACTTCTTACAGTGTCCTATGCATTCTAATTTGTCTTTATGTACATAGCATGAAAGTGTGTGTCCACGTAGTTCCTATATGTATCCTAAAGCACAGAATCCGTGAATGATTCATTTTGCAAGTATACAACTTTATTTATGTGCT